AAAATTCGTCACAAATATTAATTTTTCTAGTAGTGATATCAAGGAGTATTCTTTGTCAAACTAAGAAACAATTTTTCTCAAGAGTTTGCCAGACACTAAATAAGTATATATTGTCTCTTAGTTTGAATTTTTTACATTGGCAAGAGTTAGCTCAATATATATAAAAGTATTTAATTTGTTCCTTTAAATCAATTAAGAAAATGCCTAGAATTCAAATTCTGACTTTGGATATGAAATAAATTATGTTAGAAGAAGAATACACATCTTGTTTTGCACTCACAATTCTTAGTAGCTAGAGATAAATCACTATTTCTAATAATAGATACTTTGTATCAATACCATGGTTACCCAAAAAATTAAGAAAATTATTTTTAAGGATAATATATATTTTTTAAAGTAATTAACATTTTTCCATTTGTTTTTATCAAAATTTATTTATTTTTTCTTTTTAACAAAATTATATTCGACAAAAATAATATTTTCTTTAACGTTTTATGTTGTCTATATATATTCATTTTCCATGTTTATGTTTTAATGCCTATGTTCACTTTCCATGTTCATGTTTTAAAGCCTATATTCATTTTCCAATTTTGTGTTTTAAAGCCTATATTCATTTTCCAATTTTGTGTTTTAAAATTATCCATTTTGTTATTATAAAAACAAAATGTTTTGAAATTATCCTCCATTTTTTTTCGCTGACAGTTCACGTATGACGTACATCGTTAATAGTTTAGATTTTAGATAAGTATCCGTTTAAAATATGAAAGTATTTAATGCTTTTGGTTTTAACCAACTAATTCAGAAGATGATTCGGTAAGATAAGATTATTTTAAGTAATTAAAGTAGTTAAGGTAGTTTTTTCTTAGTTTTTTTTCTTAAAATTATTTTTTCCCTTTATTTCAATATTATAATTAATGAAGACAATTAATTTTATTTACAACTTATAATTTACAATTTATACAATTTCGTTGCCTATATATACGATCGTTTTGTTAAACAAGGATATCATTAAAATCTTGAAAAAAATGGTGTTTTGTTCTTCCAAAGGTTCCTTGGGTGTTATGTTGTATTCCTTGGTGATTTATTTTCTTGCATTTCAGTATTCCTACGTTGATGCAAACTCAACGCTAGTTGTAAATGCTGCTACCAAAGCCACTACAAGGCGAATTCCTGACACCTTTCTTGGAGCATTTCTCGAGGTAATGCAACAAATTATTCTCCTTGCATTGCATGCATGGCATCAATATTCAACTTTAAAATTGCTAATTAATGCATATGAAACTAATTTGGAGTTTGAAAATTTCCTTTTAGCTAAACACATGTTGTAAAATATTTACAATTATTAAATAAACGAAATATAGACCAAATCACGAAAGATAAACCAAACTCATTTCTAAAGATGTATTACATAACCTATTTTTCAGGAGATGAACCTATAGAAAACAAGTATTAGAAAAAAAAAAAAATAAACAAATTTCAATTTCTAAAATGGTCATCAATTTCTTTGAACTTATTTTTCAGGAGATTAATCATGCTGCTGCCGGGGGACTGTGGGCAGAACTGGTTAGCAACAGAGGTTATATCCATATCCCAAAAACAATTCTTCATCTTTGTCTTCCTAGTTCAATGTTTCATTTAGATTTCAATATATTTTAAGTAATATTTTTCTATTATTATCAATCTAATTTTAGGCTTTGAAGCTGGAGGCCCAAACAATACCTTAAATATTTATCCTTGGTCAATTATTGGAAATGAATCGTTGATTTCTGTATCAATTAACCGTTCATCTTGCTTTGAGCGTAATAAAGCTGCATTACAAATGGTGGTGCACTGTGGTGGTTACACACCTTGCCCTTCTGGTGGCGTTGGCGTCTCTAACCCTGGTTACTGGGGCATGGTAAGAAAATAATTAATACATATAAATATTTTTCATATTTTTTCTTTTTATTATGTAAGTTTAAATATAGCAGAAATGAATCTGAAAATAAAGACTTGAATAATGTCACACCTTTATTTTTCTTAAGAAATGACAAATTTATTATTAGTTTAATGTATATCTTTCTAAAAGTTTTTTTTTCTTCAATGATCATCAGAATATCGAGCAAGGGAAGAGGTACAAGGTGGTCTATCATGTTAAATCAGAAGGAAAACTTAATTTTCAACTTTCATTCACGGGTGTTGATGTTAACATAGTGTCATCAAATATCAAGTTAGTTCTTTTTTTTTCTTTAGAAGACATGTGGTAGAGATTCTGCAACCTATATTCATAAGATTATTTGTTGTGATGGTTCTTGACAGGTATGGTTATGGAGGTGCAAAATGGAACAGGGTGGAGATAATAGTGGAAGCAAAAGCTACTAATCATATTTCAAGTCTTCAAATAACCACTACTATCCAAGGGGTTTATTTGTTAGACCAGGTGTCAGCGTTGCCATTGGACACTTACTTGGTTAGTAGAATAAAAGAATCACACCTTATAAATCAACAAATGTGGCTAAAGATGAAAGCCCCATTACTTTAATTTTGTAAGATATAATATTAATTAATTTGTCTTATAATAATTTAAAGTGTCATCAATTATTCTGGGGAAAAAATAGTTCACCCAGATTTTTGGTTAATTACTATTGAAAATTTAAATAAACTTTGATCTCACATTAAAATTACAATCGTAATTTAATCCAAAAAAAAATCCTAACTAAGGAATTATTCAAATTAATTATCATAGTAGTAGTTTTCATGTGTTCTCAATAATAAAATAATTAATAATATTCCAAATGTATTAAAAATAGAAACTAAAATAAATCATGATTTACAAATGATAGAGAAGTTAGAATTAATTTCAATAACACATTTCTCACACGTACCAATCAATTGAAAATTAGCCTCTAATTTTTGTTTCTCTAATAAGTAATAAATAATAATCTTAATCTCTTGTATAAAAAATTCAAATTTCCTTAATTAAAATATTAATTCATGTAAGTAACTTTAATTAAGGCACTAATCCTAATAATAAGTTTTATCAAGCTTCTTTTTAGTTTGTTTTAAAAGTATTTTCAAATATCATTCAATTTCATATGTTTATATTAGCGTGATCGAGCAAATATATGCATTAAGAGAAAAAATCAAGAAACAGTTAAATGAATTAAAAACTTTATATTCAATAATTAGAAATAATATATGGATATTCAAGACTTCAAGTCAATTACATCAATCTTTGACAAGAATGAATTAGTCATTCATAACTAATTTAAAAAGGTAGTAGAAGAAAGTAATGAGGTTTGAAGTGTGTTTGTGATGAGTATTTTTGCTTCCTCTCTTTGTTTTTTTATAGAAAAATGCAATACTCTATCTTTTGTAGCGTAACCTAATTATTTTCTTGGACCCTTTTATTTTGTGTGCTTAGGTCAAAAATTACTTGCTTAAGTAATCAAGACAACTTGTTTAAGCAAACCTTCAATAAATCTTATTATGTCTTTCTATCAACTCTTGCTTAAGCAATCAAATAGCTCTCTTAAGTGAGTCTTAAAAATTCATAAATAGAGATTACTCAGTCACCTCTCACTTAAGCAAGTATTCAAGACTCTATTCAAGACTCCTTGGGTGTTGTTTATTGTCACCCTTTGCTTAAGCACAAATGGCCTCCCTTTTAAGCAAGGCTTCTTCACTTAGTGGCTTCACTTTGTGTAGTCAAGACAACCTGACTTCTCTAACTCTCATGGACGATTCTCCCAACTCTTCCACTTGTTGTAGCTTCCAAAGAAAACAACAAAAAGAAATCCCAACAAACTAAATAATCTAAGCTTAATTCAACTTGTTTATTTGTAAATTTATGAGTTGTAAATTCAAACAAGTTTCAAAAGAATGAAAATTAAAATAATTGTCAATATATTTTTACAAATGTAAATCATATATAGAAAGTATCAAAACTCCAAACTTAGAATCATTTTTATCTTCAAACAAAAATAAACCAAAACTAATAAAATTAACTATAGTAGTAAACATTAAAGAAAGCATGGCTTGAGATCAATCATGTTTCATACACCATCATGTACTTTCACTTTAAACTCAAGAGTTAGATGGTTCCAACAACACCGGTTTTGATTTAAATCTGTTTAAAATGAGTTTTTTTACATCAATTATTTTATAAAAATATCATTATATTATTTTCTACCTCAATCACGTAATGATCGTTGTAGAATATAGCAATGTCAAGTGATATTTTTGTATTAATATTTTATGTTTAAATTTTGTTTTATTTTTAGTTGTTGATTGATCATTTGATATTAAAAGATAATTAAAGAAGAGAAAATCTTAAAATAATAAGGTTTGCATGAAAACAAGGACTAAAGACATGGAGTTGGAAAACATGGTTTTGATCTTAGTTGAGATTTTACTTCGTGCATATCTATATATGATGTCAAGAAAGCGGTAGTAAAACTGAAAAATGATTTTAACCTTCAATTTTATGTTCTCAAATGAAAAAGAAAAAAAAACTTATAGTTTGTTCTTCTTGTCTTTTAAAATGCGAAAAATATAACATAAAATAAACGGAAATAACATTCTTCTTTAATTAACACAAACAATTACATATTTTTGAGCCTTGACTCTCAGTATAATACTCGCACATCTTCGTGCTCAAACTCTTTACCTAAGAATAAAGGTAAGAGGTGTCCTTTTTCAACTAAACTGAAATTCTGACTATTGTTATATGCAATGTCTGAAAGTGAAACAAATATGAGCATCTTTTAGATTAGGTCTAGTTCATTTTTCATCTTCGATTAGCATTTATATTTGGTGTAAATGATTTTAACTATCACTATATTCACCTGGAGTTAATAATTGATTTCTGCAGGTAGTAAACTTTGGAACAGCAAGTGAGAGCCTTAGCATTTCTATAAATGGGTTGAACGCAACCGTGCAACAATATTATGATACTAAAGCCACAGTGCTTACATCTAACCAAGTAATGGATGAGAACTCCTTCTCAGAGCCGCAGAAGGTACAATTTGGTTTTGCTGTACTTGTGTTAGATACATTACATAAATTAGCCTTGCATGTAAAAACCTATGCCATTAATCATTTATGGCTACTCATTTTAAATACAGGTGGTTCCACAAACAAGTTCACCAGGGAAGGTTGGCAGTAACGTGAAAGTGATTCTCTCCCCCTATTCAGTGACATCATTGGACTTGTTAATTTGATAAGAAGATAGTTCCGAAGCAAGAGATTTTGTGGCCTATCTTTTATGTTATCAGGAAATGTATTATTATCAAGAGTTTGAGCACGAAGATGTGCGAGTATTATACTGAGAGTCAAGGCTCAAAAATATGTAATTGTTTGTGTTAATTAAAGAAGAATGTTATTTCCGTTTATTTTATGTTATATTTTTCGCATTTTAAAAGACAAGAAGAACAAACTATAAGTTTTTTTTTCTTTTTCATTTGAGAACATAAAATTGAAGGTTAAAATCATTTTTCAGTTTTACTACCGCTTTCTTGACATCATATATAGATATGCACGAAGTAAAATCTCAACTAAGATCAAAACCATGTTTTCCAACTCCATGTCTTTAGTCCTTGTTTTCATGCAAACCTTATTATTTTAAGATTTTCTCTTCTTTAATTATCTTTTAATATCAAATGATCAATCAACAACTAAAAATAAAACAAAATTTAAACATAAAATATTAATACAAAAATATCACTTAACATTGTCTATATTCTACAACGATCATTACGTAATTGAGGCAAAAAATAATATAATGACATTTTTATAAAATAATTGATGTAAAAAAAACTCATTTTACACTAATTTAAATCAAAACTAGTGTAAAAAAGAGTTTTTTACATTAATTTAAATTTCATCCGATGAAATAACTTTTTTTTTAATTTTAAAATCGTGAAATGAAAAGCAATAAAGGAAGCTTGTTTTTTTTTTTTATTTATTCTTTTATTTTTAATTTTATTTTTATTGTTTTCTTGTTTTGTCTGGTATTGTTTGTGGGCTATTTGAGCTACTAGAAAAGGGGGCTCATTTGGGCTATGGTGGTGGTTAATGATTTTACAAATGTACCAAAATCAAAAGCATGTTCTATAATGGATAGGAATTTAAATATCGAAATCGCGAGAACTTGTGCAAGACTCACTCAATTTCTATTTAACATTTTTGTATTTATAATTTGATTGAGGAAACTTAGTTCTTAAAAAATAATGATTTTTTTTTAGAGTTTTCCAAATGTATTAAAAATAGAAACTAAAATAAATCATGATTTACAAATGATAGAGAAGTTAGAATTAATTTCAATAACACATTTCTCACACGTACCAATCAATTGAAAATTAGCCTCTAATTTTTGTTTCTCTAATAAGTAATAAATAATAATCTTAATCTCTTGTATAAAAAATTCAAATTTCCTTAATTAAAATATTAATTCATGTAAGTAACTTTAATTAAGGCACTAATCCTAATAATAAGTTTTATCAAGCTTCTTTTTAGTTTGTTTTAAAAGTATTTTCAAATATCATTCAATTTCATATGTTTATATTAGCGTGATCGAGCAAATATATGCATTAAGAGAAAAAATCAAGAAACAGTTAAATGAATTAAAAACTTTATATTCAATAATTAGAAATAATATATGGATATTCAAGACTTCAAGTCAATTACATCAATCTTTGACAAGAATGAATTAGTCATTCATAACTAATTTAAAAAGGTAGTAGAAGAAAGTAATGAGGTTTGAAGTGTGTTTGTGATGAGTATTTTTGCTTCCTCTCTTTGTTTTTTTATAGAAAAATGCAATACTCTATCTTTTGTAGCGTAACCTAATTATTTTCTTGGACCCTTTTATTTTGTGTGCTTAGGTCAAAAATTACTTGCTTAAGTAATCAAGACAACTTGTTTAAGCAAACCTTCAATAAATCTTATTATGTCTTTCTATCAACTCTTGCTTAAGCAATCAAATAGCTCTCTTAAGTGAGTCTTAAAAATTCATAAATAGAGATTACTCAGTCACCTCTCACTTAAGCAAGTATTCAAGACTCTATTCAAGACTCCTTGGGTGTTGTTTATTGTCACCCTTTGCTTAAGCACAAATGGCCTCCCTTTTAAGCAAGGCTTCTTCACTTAGTGGCTTCACTTTGTGTAGTCAAGACAACCTGACTTCTCTAACTCTCATGGACGATTCTCCCAACTCTTCCACTTGTTGTAGCTTCCAAAGAAAACAACAAAAAGAAATCCCAACAAACTAAATAATCTAAGCTTAATTCAACTTGTTTATTTGTAAATTTATGAGTTGTAAATTCAAACAAGTTTCAAAAGAATGAAAATTAAAATAATTGTCAATATATTTTTACAAATGTAAATCATATATAGAAAGTATCAAAACTCCAAACTTAGAATCATTTTTATCTTCAAACAAAAATAAACCAAAACTAATAAAATTAACTATAGTAGTAAACATTAAAGAAAGCATGGCTTGAGATCAATCATGTTTCATACACCATCATGTACTTTCACTTTAAACTCAAGAGTTAGATGGTTCCAACAATTGACTCACAAAATATGGTGCTCATTTGTTTTTTTTTTTTTTTTTGATCAGCCAAATAAATGCATTATGGAGGCACTAGGGGTGCCAAACCCACATACATAAAAGTTTAGATGTTGATAATTGAAATAAAAATACAAAAAGTTCACCTCCTACTTACCCTACTCAATCATACACTCAACAAGCACTTACAGAGAAATACACATGCCTGGGTTGCTTAGCCACTGTTGAAAGCTGTAATGGAAGGACTTGTCATGCCTCAACCAGACCCAAGCATAGAAAGAGATATCATCTTGTAGTCTTTTCTGATCAAAATGATGTCCTCTGAACCTACAATTGTTTCTCATATTCCAGACACACCAAACTATCACACACCAAACTACCTTCCATCTTCCTCCTTCTTCTTTAGACCATCTCGAGTGAGGTTGCTGGAGAAAATGGTGGTGCACACTCTGCGGCAAGACAGTTGAGATAGAGGCCCATTGGTAGCAACTTTTCCAAATTTTTTGTACTTCTATACAAGTGAATATTATATGTACCATAGTCTCCATCTCCTTGTCGCACATGGTACAAGTCTGGCTGTCTACCGGTAAAGCAATGTTCCTCCTAGTCAGGTTCTCCGTTGTAGGTAGACCATTGTGAAATACCTTCCAGCATAAGACAACGGCCTTTGGTGGGATTTTTAATTTCCACAATGAGGAGAAAAACTCTGTCATTGGCTGATTAGTGCTGGCAAGATAGCTCTGGCTGTGAATGAGGGTATATGCAGAAGACACTGAATATTGTCCATTGGCCTCACAAGTCCACCACCAAAAATCTTTTTCATTTTTCTTTGGCTTTCTTCCCTCCAGCATTCGTTGTAGCTCCTCCCATTGACCAACTTCTCTTTCAAACCAGCCTCTTCGCCACTTTAAATCCCATCTCCAATCCTCACCAATCCAAGATCCCAACTCCATGATGAGGTTCATCTTTTGCTTTGAGTTCAAAAACAATCTGGGAAAAACCTCGGCCAGAGTCGTGTTCCCAATCCAAGTATCATGCCAAAATCTGGTTTTCTTTCCCCCTCCTAACCTCCACTCCACTGCAGCATCAAACCACTTTTCTCTTGTTTGAACACCACACACCCTTGTTAAATCCTGCCACCAAATGGAAGAGTTCTGATGGCCTGCCTCTTTCAAAAGTGATTGCCACCCATCGTACTTAGAGAGCAGTAATCTTCCCCACATAGAGTCCTCTTGATGGAAGAGTTGCCATTTCCATTTCTCGAGCAATGCATCGTTAAAAGATTCTATATTCTTGATGCCCAACCCACCTTTTTCCTTAGGTTGGCAAATTGTTCTCCGCTTGACCCATGAGATCTTTCTGGTTTCGTCTTTTGACCCCCATAAGAAATTCCTTTGGATTTTTTCTAATTGTCGCATCACTTGTTTTGGCATCTTGAAAAGGGAAATCAAGTATAAGGGAAGTCCAGATAAAACAAAGTTAATTAGACACACTCGTGCCGCCAACGACAGGTTTTTGCTCCTCCACAATGCCAATTTCCTATTGTATTTGAGCATTATTTCTTTCCACATCTTTTGTCTCCTCGGGTTGGCCCCTATAGCAATCCCAAGGTACACAAATGGAAGGGTCATGACTTTGTAATTAAGTAGTGTTGCGCATCTTTCTCGTGATCTGTTATCTAAT